GACAAACAACCAAAACTTTCCACCAGAGTTTGCAGCTGGCGAATGTAGTGAAGATCTGCTCTCTCTCTGTCTTCGCCCCCTCCACCACTTTTCTACATTTTTCTCTAACAAGGAATCTTAACCACTTTTCGTTTTTGATGTTGTATCAGATGCTACGGATATTACACAATAATTAAACATACCTAATTACTCTGATCAAATGCTACAGATATCACACATTAATCAAACATACCTAAGTACTCTAACCAGATGATACAGATATATCACATTAATCAAACATACCTAAGTACTCTAACCAGATGCTACAGATATATCACATTAATCAAACATACCTAAGTACTCTAACCAGATGCTACAGATATATCACATTAATCAAACATACCCAAGTACTCTAACCAGATGCTACAGATATATCACATTAATCAAACATACCCAAGTACTCTAACCAGATGCTACAGATATATCACATTAATCAAACATACCCAAGTACTCTAACCAGATGCTACAGATATATCACATTAATCAAACATACCTAAGTACTCTAACCAGATGCTACAGATATTTTACATTAATCAAACATACCCAAGTACTTAACCAGATGCTACAGATATATCACATTAATCAAACATACCCAAGTACTCTAACCAGATGCTACAGATATATCACATTAATCAAACATACCTAAGTACTCTAACCAGATGCTACAGATATCACACATTAATCAAAGATACCCACGTACTCTAACCAGATGCTACAGATATATCACATTAATCAAACATACCTAAGTACTCTAACCAGATGCTACAGATATATCACATTAATCAAACATACCTAAGTACTCTAACCAGATGCTACAGATATATCACATTAATCAAACATACCCAAGTACTCTAACCAGATGCTACAGATATATCACATTAATCAACCAGGCACTGATACATGATGACTCACCGTCATATTTAGGAGTAACCTTTGACTCAAGACTCACATGGAGAAAACAGATAGAAAAGACACAGAGCAAGGGACTCAAGAGAACACAACTGATGAGGAAGTTAGCTGGAACAGACTGGGGGGCAAACCTCAATGTCCTTAAGAGGACCTATACAGGCTATGTGAGGCCAACACTAGAATATGGAATAGCTGCTTGGGGCACAGCAGCTAAATCAAATTTTCAGAAAGTCTCAAAGATCCAAAACCATGCTCTCCGTATTATGACAGGGGCAATGCGCTCCACGCCCATATCAGATATGGAAACAATTACTGGTCTCCATAATCTGGAAGATAGGAGAGACACAAAGATCCTCACCCAGCTCTCCAAATACCACCACTTTCAAGAACAACCCATGTACAGCCGACTACAGAAACCCCAGAAGGCTAGACTAAAGAGAACTTGCTTTATTAAGAACGCAAATGCCAAGCTCGCTGTCCTTAAACTCCCTCCCATAATACAAATGTTCCACTTAAACCTTACAACGACTGCCCCGCTTGGCTTAGGGATAGCCTACCAACAGTCAGAACCACTGTAACAGGGGTCTCCTCCAAATCATCAATGAGCAGCACTGATATGAAATCAACTACAGAAGGAGAGATCAATAGACTTTACCCACACCAGAGTTGGATTCGAGTATATACAGATGGTTCAGCCAAGAGAGCAGTAAGAGACGGAGGAGGAGGGAATATACATAGAATGCCCAAATGGTTTAAAAATCAACCAGGCTGTACCAACAGGTTCATATTCCTCCAATTACAGAGCAGAGGCAGAAGCACTTCTAGCAGCATGTTCTTTCCTGAATGGACAACAGCACAGCAAATATAGCAGAGTGGTCTTTCTGACTGATGCTATGTCAGTTCTACAAGCAATTGTTAACCAAAAGACACTCAGTTTGTAGACTTGACGCAACAGCTGATTTACTTAGGCTCTTCAGTAGAACAATCTGTACTGCAGTGGATTCCAGGTCACTGTGGCTTGGAAGGCAATGAAATAGCGGACAGATTGGCCAGAAGCGGCAGTGACATGGTACAACCAAATAGCGACTTAACCCCACCAAGAGATGAAAACGCTAATACAATCTAGTATCCAAGAAAGGTGGCTGGATACCCACACCAGATTTTCTCCCCAAGACTCACTTCATCGCCTCTCTAGAGAGGGACAGTCTATTATATTCAGACTAAGGACAGGGCACAACAGATTTCGTCAACATATGTTCAAATTTTTCGGTGTAGGAAATACGGAGACGTGTCCCTGCAGCGTGGCACCCGAAAATGCTGAGCATGTGCTCCAACACTGTCAACTGTATGCTGACAACAGAGACGCAATCTGGCCTGTTCCAACCACAATGAAGACAAAACTGTATGGTACACAAGAGGATATGGATTGCACGATAGCTTTCATAAAGGCTACCGGCCTCCTGATATAAGTTTTCTGACAGAAGGATCGAAGAAGAAGAAGAAGAAGAAACATACCCAAGTACTCTAACCAGATGCTACAGATATATCACATTAATCAAACATACCTAAGTACTCTAACCAGATGCTACAGATATATCACATTAATCAAACATACCTAAGTACTCTAACCAGATGCTACAGATATATCACATTAATCAAACATACCTAAGTACTCTAACCAGATGCTACAGATATATCACATAAATCAAACATACCTAAGTACTCTAACCAGATGCTACAGATATATCACATTAATCAAACATACCTAAGTACTCTAACCAGATGCTACAGATATATCACATTAATCAAACATACCTAAGTACTCTAACCAGATGCTACAGATATATCACATTAATCAAACATACCTAAGTACTCTAACCAGATGCTACAGATATATCACATAAATCAAACATACCTAAGTACCCCTGATCAAATGCTACAGATATCACACTTTAATCAAACATACCCAAGTACTCTAACCAGATGCTACAGATATATCACATAAATCAAACATACCCAAGTACTCTAACCAGATGCTACAGATATATCACATAAATCAAACATACCCAAGTACTCTAACCAGATGCTACAGATATATCACATAAATCAAACATACCTAAGTACTCTAACCAGATGCTACAGATATATCACATTAATCAAACATACCTAAGTACTCTAATCAAATGCTACAGATATATCACATTAATCAAACATATCTAAGTACTCTAACCAGATGATACAGATGTATCACATTAATCAAACGTACCCAAGGGCTTTGATCAGATTTAACAGATATCACACATTAATCAAACATACCCAAGGGCTTTAACCAGATGCGACAGATATCACACATTAATCAAAAATATATTTGCTTTATGCAGGCCTGAGGTGTGCTTGCAAAGGGCCACATGCAGCCAGCGTTCTGCCAGTTGAACATGCTTGTGCTAGATCCATTAGAGCTAGCCTTCCTTGTAGACACGGCCCCTGATTGAATTGAACATTCTCATGATTGTAAGAGATGTACACTCACATGATTGTAAGATGTTTTAGAAAGAATTGTAACCGTCCTAATAGACACTTTATAGAAAGTTGGGAATACAAAGAATAAAGCACTAATCAGTTTTACGCTGTGCGCATGAGGTACAGGACAGATACCACCTCCCAGAAAGACGTATGGGCACTCAGAATGTTGCAAGAAACTTGCCACCACATGCTCGCTTTAAAGCTCCAGAAGTCAGGTTGAAATTGGTAGATGAAGAAACTAAACAGTCCGATCCAATCACCCTTATGAAATCACTAAAGACCGTGATTCTTACCCCGAAGAATGGATACATGTTTATACTGATGGATCTGCAATCAAAGCCACCATTAAAGCAGGTTACGGAATCTACATAGGTTACCCTGATGGATCTATTGAAGAGATATTTGATGCATGCGGGAAATTCTGCTCAAATTACGAAGCTGAAAGAATTGCACTGGAAACAGCAGTATACCACATAAAGACTGTAATGGACGTTTATCCTTAAAGGCCCAAAATATTGTCATCTTCACCGATTCAATGTCTGCTCTTCCAGGCCACTCCCGCACACCAGGTAATGACAGAGCTGACAGACTGGCAAAGAAAGGAGCAACACAAAAACAACCACCTACAGCGACAACCCTACAGGCAGCAAAAACACTTATAAAAGCTATAAACAAAGAGACTTGGCTGAACAGATGGGCCATGGGAGATACTGGAAGAGAGGTTTATAGACACATGGCTAGCCCTGATCCTAATGACAGCATGAACCATCTAACAAAAAGGGACCAGGCCACCATCTTCAGACTTAGAACGCAACATACTCCACTCAATGGACACCTAAACAGAATACAGCCACAACACTCCCCAGAGTGCCAGCTATGTAACTACCCATATGAAAATGTTGACCATCATCTCTTTGAGTGCCTAAAACTCAACGAGACTAGAAGAATGCTACTCCCTCCCAGACCAGACAGGTGGAACAGCTTGTACGGAGGAAAAGAACAGCTTGTGAAAACATGTAAATTCCACAACATGGCATTGGGCCAAAGGGGGAAAGCTCATGCGCCGCTGGATCAGTAACACAACAACAACGATTGTGAGAGACACTGACTGGCTAAACCGGGATAGATTAAACAAAAAAGTCTGTCAGAAATAAATATAGAGCTTATTTAAATAATGCGGACACAAACAATACATTGCACAATTTATTGCCAGGCATATTTCGCTGTATCTCATCAGGTGCGTTACTACAGAGTTACATCAACAAAAAATGAAGCACAAAACTGAATAAATCTAACTGAAATGCAAATAGTTTCTTCCGACACATTGTGTGTGTTTTTTGGTCACCCGAAAGCTCATCATAGTGACGTGACTTACCAATAGAGCCTATTTAACAGTATTTGAGTAGATTGTTTTGTTTACCACAATCATTGTGTGTCTCTGTCTGCTAGGATGATGGCCACGACTGGTATTGCTTTGAATGTCATGGCCCTGGAGAAGTTTATGAATGCAGCGACTGCTTTAGGGTTTTTCATAAACGATGCACAAGAGAGGACACACGGGATGCAGTGTTCACTTGCACCATATGTCGGGTGAGTGCTGTCATTTGATGGGTTAGTGTTTGCTGTGCTGTCATTAGGTGGGTTAGTATATTCTGTGCTGTCATTAGGTGAGTTAGTGTATTCTGTGCTGTCATTAGGTGAGTTAGTATATTCTGTGCTGTCATTAGGTGAGTTAGTGTATTCTGTGCTGTCATTAGGTGAGTTAGTATATTCTGTGCTGTCATTAGGTGAGTTAGTATATTCTGTGCTGTCATTAGGTGAGTTAGTATATTCTGTGCTGTCATTAGGTGAGTTAGTATATTCTGTGCTGTCATTAGGTGAGTTAGTATATTCTGTGCTGTCATTAGGTGAGTTAGTATATTCTGTGCTGTCATTAGGTGAGTTAGTATATTCTGTGCTGTCATTAGGTGAGTTAGTATATTCTGTGCTGTCATTAGGTGAGTTAGTATATTCTGTGCTGTCATTAGGTGAGTTAGTATATTCTGTGCTGTCATTAGGTGAGTTAGTATATTCTGTGCTGTCATTGAGTTAGTGTATTCTGTGCTGTCATTAGGTGAGTTAGTGTATTCTGTGCTGTCATTAGGTGAGTAAGTGTATTCTGTGCTGTCATTAGGTGAGTTAGTGTATTCTGTGCTGTCATTAGGTGACATAGATATCTGAAAATACAGATATATACAGCTGATATCTGCACAGCAAATATCTGTGAACATAGATATCTGAAAATAAAGATATATAAAGGTAGCGTCTACAGTTTTGCTATGTATACATCAGTCACCCAAATGGTTCTCGTGTAGCAACCACTGACTCCTTTATCTTGACTACCAGCAACCAGCCAACAGACAACACCCACTTCCTTGCTGTCTTCTCGTGTAGCAACCACCGACTCCTTTATCTTGACTACCAGCAACTAGCCAGCAGACAACAGCCACTTCCTTGCTGTCTTCTCATGTAGCAATCACCAACTCCTTTATCTTGACTACCAGCAACCAGCCAGCAGACAACACCCACTTCCTTGCTGTCTTCTCATGTAGCAATCACCAACTCCTTTATCTTGACTACCAGCCAGCAGACAACACCCACTTCCTTGCTGTCTTCTCACGTAGCAACCACCAACTCCTTTATCTTGACTACCAGCCAGCAGACAACACCCACTTCCTTGTTGTCTTCTCATGTAGCAATCACCAACTCCTATATCTTGACTACCAGCAACTAGCCAGCAGACAACATCCACTTCCTTGCTGTCTTCTCGTGTAGCAATCACCAACTCCTTTATCTTGACTACCAGCAACTAGCCAGCAGACAACACCCACTTACTTGCTGTCTTCTCGTGTAGCAACCACCGACTCCTTTATCTTGACTACCAGCAACCAGCCAGCAGACAACAGCCACTACCTTGCTGTCTTCTCACGTAGCAACCACCAACTCCTTTATCTTGACTACCAGCAACTAGCCAGCAGACAACACCCACTTCCTTGCTGTCTTCTCGTGTAGCAACCACTGACTCCTTTATCTTGACTACCAGCAACCAGCCAGCAGACAACATCCACTTCCTTGCTGTCTTCTCATGTAGCAATCACCAACTCCTTTATCTTGACTACCAGCAACTAGCCAGCAGACAACACCCACTTCCTTGCTGTCTTCTCGTGTAGCAACCACTGACTCCTTTATCTTGACTACCAGCAACCAGCCAGCAGACAACATCCACTTCCTTGCTGTCTTCTCATGTAGCAACCACCGACTCCTTTATCTTGACTACCAGCAACCAGCCAGCAGACAACACCCACTTCCTTGCTGTCTTCTCATGTAGCAACCACTGACTCCTTTATCTTGACTACCAGCAACTAGCCAACAGACAACACTCACTTCCTTGCTGTCTTCTCGTGTAGCAATCACCAACTCCTTTATCTTGACTACCAGCAACCAGCCAGCAGACAACACCCACTTCCTTGCTGTCTTCTCGTGTAGCAATCACCAACTCCTATATCTTGACTACCAGCAACCAGCCAGCAGACAACACCCACTTCCTTGCTGTCTTCTCATGTAGCAATCACCAACTCCTTTATCTTGACTACCAGCAACCAGCCAGCAGACAACATCCACTTCCTTGCTGTCTTCTCATGTAGCAACCACTGACTCCTTTATCTTGACTACCAGCCAGCAGACAACACCCACTTCCTTGCTGTCTTCTCGTGTACTTGAACTTGGTAGAAAACAAAAATTACAAAACTCCTCGACTCTTTCAGTCTGCTCCTGATTGAGCGGTGACTATATCAAGTCCTTGTTTGTGTGCTGACTCTAGTTCGTTTTGTTTTTTGTAGGCGTTTGGTTGTGCCTTGATTACCGATCTTACTATTTGTCCTTTCCTTTTTGCCTGTGTGAGCTGTTACGCACTCTGTCCGTGATTGTTCCTTGGCTGTTTCCTTGTACACCACATCGAAATCGATAAGCTTGTCACTGAGTTCCACCAACACGGCCCCTTTCAGGGCCCCACTTAACATCTTTTTTGTGCTTTTTATTTTTTGCATCTTACATGTGTAAGTGCGTTAAGCTTGCTCTTTTTTTTTTTTTTTGGCCTTCATTTTTTTTGGTTTGGTTTTTATTTTTTTGGCCTCTTTTTTTTTTTTTTTTCAATTTTTTATCCAGTTTTATTCTGGCCACACATGGTATAGAAGTAGTGGGGATGTAACACAGTTTATGCAAAAAAATTAAGAGAAAATTGAAAGCTTGAAAAGCTGAGTAGGACATGAAGCAAGGTCGAAGGAGAGAGAGAGATAAATAGCTTGCTAGGTGAGGGGAGATTGCTGTCGGGTTTGATGGCCGCGTCCGTTTGTCTGTTCGCTGGTTGGTTGTTTCCTCCAGGTCGTGGCGCTTCACTCTAGGTTCGTGCTGATTGATGGGGGTTGCGGACTGAGTTGTTGCTATGCGGTTGTCGACTATCGGGCGGTTCCCCCCTGTAGTTTTGCTAATGAACTGTTTGACGAGCGCTTCCAGGGCTTTGTCGCTCGTGGTGTGCAGCCACTCTGTGATGGATACTTTCTTTTTGTGGGTCGCACAGTAGTCGAGGATCGGTTTTCGAGAGATGTCATGCTTTTTGCAATATAACATGTAGTGGCATATTGAGTTTTGGCACCTGCAGGTAGGGCACGTTGGGTTTTTGTATACATCGGCCCAGTGTCCCAGCCTCAGATTCCAGAGTTTGTTGACGGTCGGGATTTTCGTTTGTTCTTTTATCTGAGGCTGGGGCCTTGGTTTCCTAAGTAGATTGAATGCATGTCTTCCCTGCTTGCAGTTATGCCACTGGATTTCCCAGGCTTTTAACAAAAGTTGTTTAGTGGCTGCACGGCCTTCGGATTTGCTTAGTCCTATGTTTAGTACATCGGCGCTGTTGATGCCTTGTTTGGCAGCTAGATCGGCCGCTTCGTTTCCAGCTATTCCTTTGTGGGCTGGAATCCAACATATTGTTAGTTCACATCCTTTGTTTCTTATCTCCGTTGCTGCCGCAAGTATCTCTTCTTTGACGTCTTGTCTAGAGCCTCTGCTGAGGTCTTTGAGGGCTAATACTGCGGCCAGTGAGTCTGTGAGAATGTGAACTCTGGCCGGGGGGTTGGCTAGGGCGAGGCCGATAGCTACTTTGATGCCGATAAGTTCGGCTGTGCAGATTGAGGTCCCGTCAGTGAGGTTGAAACTTTGTGTTACACCGAGCTGTGGGGCGAAGATGCCTACCCCGACTTTCCCCTCCTCATTTTTAGAACCGTCGGTGTAAATCTTGACGCTATCAGTCGCGAGATGTTCTAAATACTCTTCTGCTATTTTTTTGGCTTCTGCCCTGTCGGTCTGTTTGGTGATTAGTTTAGTTAGGGAGGTGTCGGTTGCCGGTGGGGACAGTTCCCATGGGGGGAAGGTTGCTTTGATTTTGATTGTGTCCTTGAAGGCTCGGTCTACACCGCTTCCTTCCACCGTTCTCGCTAGGAGCCAGGCTACCGGTTTCTGGAACCGTGGAGTTTTGCCGCTCCCATAGTGGTGCAGGTTGGGGAGGAAAGCGTCCCTGGCGGGGTGTTCCGGGTCGGCGTTGGCCTGCATCCAGTAGTTGATGGCCAGTTGTCTGCGCCTGAGATTAAGGGGCGTCACTCCGAGTGCAACTTTCATTGCGGCTCTGCTGGTGCCAGGGCCAGTTCCTATGATGGTAGCTAGGGCTTGCCTTTGGATGCTATCGAGGCTATTTTTGATGTTGTCGGCTGCTGAATCGTACACGATGGAGCCGTACTCCAATCTGCCTCTGATAAATGCCATGTAAAATTGAAGCATTGTTTTGGCGTGGGCGCCCCATCCGCTGCCTTTTATGATTTTTAGCATGTTATTGAGCGGCTTGGACCGCTCCACCGTGTACTTTATGTGCCTATTCCAGCAGAGTTGCTCATCTAGCTCCATCCCTAGGAATCTGGTGAGTATCTTTCTCTGGATCTGCCTGCCTCCCATTTCTAGCCTGATCGACCCTTCTTCGTATCGCTGCATGGTTTTTTTTGTTGAAGATCATGAGGGCTGATTTGTCGGTGTTGACCCTGAACCCCGATTCGTTCATCCAGCGCATTACGTTGTTAAGTTCTGGCTGGAGACCGTTTCTTACTTGAGTAATCTCGCTCCCGGTCATCCACAGAGCGCAGTCATCAGCGAATTGTGACAGTTTGACTCTTTTATCTGTGATCGCTCTGTGGAGGTCGTTTACCAGTAAATTGTACAAAGTCGGAGAGATTACGGCCCCTTGTGGGATGCCGTTTTCCTGCTCTAGGGTGTCTGATTCTTCGCTTCGGATCTGGACTGCGAAAGTTCTTTCAGAGAGGAAGCTTGAGATGTAGTTCAAGATTCTTCCTGTGAGCCCTAGCCTCTTGATCTTGATGATGGCTCCTTCGCGCCAGCACTGGTCGAACGCCTGGGCGAGGTCTAGGAAAGCGGCCATCGTTTTGTCTCCCCTCTTGAACCCGATTTTGGTGTCGTTTTCCAGCCTTATGATTTGGTCCAAGGTTGACCTGCTGGACCTGAATCCTGACTGGGTGGGGCTGTAGAGTTTCTCTCGGTTCAAAAAGAAGATGAGACGTTTATTGACAACAGTCTCTAAGATCTTTCCCAGGTGGGAGGTGAGGGCAATCGGTCTATACGATTCTGTGTTCTGTGGATCTTTGCTGGGTTTGAGTACTGGGATTACCAGAGCTTTTTTCCATTGACTAGGAATCCGCCCCCTGCTCCATATGTTGTTAAATAGATTTGTGATGGATTGAATTCCGTTAGCTGGAAGCATTTTTAGGATGGAGTAATTAAGAATGTCGCCTCCCGCTGCTGAACTCGCCTTTTCCTTTATCGCGGTGGCTACTTCGTCCACTGTGATGTCGGAGTTTAGGGGCAGAAAGTCGCTTGGGGATGGAACCGGTCGTCCTCTTTC